TTAACTTGATTTAGAACATACAATTTTTAAAAACCTTCCAGAATGTCTCCCTGCCACACTCCCCCAAAAAGGGCTGAGGGAACTTTGTCCATCATCTATATCCTTTTTTACTAGATCAACCTCAGACTTTCCAAGCATACTACACAATGTCTTATTAGTTAGGGAAAAGAAAATGCCACTCAAGTTCACTGAATGTCTGACAGCCTGAGCAAACTCAGAGATCTGGATTCTTATTTTTATTTTAGATAGTGTAGACACAGCTCCCTAGTCAGTAAGACCAAATGAAAGTGAATTTACATTTAAAATAAGACAATCTACTGATAGAAATCACAACACAACTATATTTCAGTCATTTAATTAGTATTTCCCCAGGGTAAGCACCATGGGAAATAGAGAAGTTCAGGCCTAATTTTTGCCCACAAAGAGTTCCACTCCCTAGCTGGGGAGAAAAGACAGAGACCTATGAACCACGCAATCAAAAATGTGCCCATCTTACACTGTAATGTAAGATGATGAGAAGAACGGCACTAAATGCTCAAAATCCAGGAGTTCTGAGGAAGAGATTAAGTGTGGACTCAGAAAAATCAGAACATTAACATGGAGGAGAAAAGGATTTTGGAGGAAGCAGACAGAGATAAGCCCTGCAGGTTCCAGAGAAAGAGTGTAAAGAGATTAGAATGACTCTAGTGAACAGCTATGTTGGGGAGAAGTGGAAATAGCTTTAAAAAAACATGTCATATGCAAAGTCCAATCAATGGGAATAAAATAGTCTCTCCAACAGAGACAGTGCTGTGACAACATGCAGAAGAATGAAGATGGAACCTCACCTCACACCATATCCAAAATGGAACAACGGCCTAACTACGGGAGCTAAAACAATAAAACTCTTAGAAGAAAACTTAGTGCTAAATCTTCATGACCGTGGATTTGGCAATGGATTCTTAGATATGACACCAAAAAAACATCAGCACAGAAGAAAAAATAGATGAATTGGACTTCATCAAAATTAAAAACTTTTGTGCAAAGGTCATTATAAAGAAAGTGAAAGGACAACCTACCTACAAAATGGAGAAGATATTTGGAAATTATATATCTGATAAGGGTTAATAACCAGAATACATAAAGAACTCCTACAACTCAAGAACAAGGACAAACATTCAATTAAAAAATGGACAAAGGATTTGGATAAACATTTCTCCAAAGAAGCTACACAAATAGCCACTTAAGGAAATGCAAGTCAAAACCACCATAATGAGATACCATTTCATACCTACCAGGATGGCTCTGATTTGAAAAATGAAAAGTAACAAGTGTGAGCAAAGATATAGGCAAACTGGAAAGCTTGCACATTGCTGGTGGGAATGTAAAATGGTGCAGCCACTAGAGAAAACAGTCCAGAGGTTCTTCAAAAAGCTAAACACAGAATTACCATATTACCCAGCAATCCGTAGGCATATACACAAAGGAAATGAAAGTGAGGACTTGAACAGATACTTGCAGGCCTATAATCACTGTACTGGATTAGGCAAAAGTTTCACATATATGACACCTACTAAAGGACAAGCAATAAAAAAAAATAGATAAACTGGACTTCGACAAAATATAAGTTTTTGTGCATCAAAGGACATCAAGAACGTGAAAAGACAGGAGCTCCCCTCTATTTGCTAAATGGGATGCTGCCTGATTCATGACTTGTTTATTAATAAAGCCAATAATACAATAAACAAATAAAGAAGGGAGGGAAGAGAAGAGAAGAGAAAAAAGAAAAAAAAGAAACCCTCATATATTATTGGTGGGAATGTAAAATGGGTCAGCCACTTTGGAAAACAGGCTGGCAGTTCTTCAAAATGTGAAAAATAGAGTTATCGAGTGACCCAGAAATTCCATTCCTAGATATATACCCACACGAGATAAAAACATATATCTGCACAAAAACTTAAATGCTCACAGCATTATTTTTAATAGCAAAAAAAAGTAGAAACAACTCAAATGTCCATCAAATGATTAATGGATAAACAAAATGAGGCATAGCCACACAATGGATATTATTCAGCAATAAAAAGAAAGAAAGTGCTGATACAGAAGTCAACACAGATGAATCTTGAAAACATTATGCTAAGAAACCAACCATAAAAGACCATATATTACATTATTCTGTTTATATGAAATGTCCTGGACTGGCAAATCCATAGAAACACAAAATGGATTAGTTGTTGCCAGGGTCTGGGGAGAGTGGGGAACAGGAAGTGACTGAGAAGAGGTATGTGGTTTCTTCTCAGTGTGATGAAAATGTTCTGGAATTAGATAGTTGATGGTTGCATAACTCCGAATATACTAAAAATCACTGAACTATACATTTTAAAAGGGTGAACTCTATGATTTGTGAATTAAATCTCAGGAAAACTATTTAAAAAAACAATAACAACCAGTCAGGTAGTGTCCTATACTCTGTCACTCTGACTCCGATTATAATATTTACCATTTATTGAACACCTACTATGTACCTGTAGGAAAGGAAATACAAACAGGTAGCCTAATATTTAACACAGACTGTACCAGGTATGGTATAATCTCATTTAACCTTCAATACAACCTTGTGAGGTATGTAGTATATTTGTATTACTGTTGAGGAAGCTTATATTCAGAAAAATTAAATAACTTGGCCAAGATAATTTAACCAGTATGTGGCCAAGACAGAATTTGAATTAAAGCTCTTAACTACTGTACTGTATTATTTTTCTTATATGAAGAAAAAAAGCAACTCATGTCTCTTAACTCATGATTGTTGAAGAATGAAGTAAAACAATAAATATTAAAAAATAAAATACATACACATTTTTACTCCAGACACGATAAAGTTTGGTGGACACCCTATCATTCAGAGTATTATTAGTCTCTTATGTGATAGTTTGAAATTTAAAATTTTTACACAGAAATTTAGTCTAAAAAAGTCCTTTTTATACAACTATTTTGTGACTTATGATATTCTCTTTCTTTTCTTTTTTTAAAAATTTTATTTTTGGGAATGCCTGGATGGCTCACTCTGTTAAGCGTCCAACTCTTGATTTCGGCTCAGGTCATGATCTCAGGGTTGTGAAATCAAGCCCTGCATTGGGCTCTGCGCCGGGCGTGGGGCCTGCTTAACATTCTCTCTCCCTCTGCACCCCTCCTCCCTCTCTAAAAAAATAAAGATTTCATTATAATTTATTATTTATTTTTTTTAAGTAATGCCTACCTCCAGCGTGTGGGGCTCAAACTTAAAACCCCAAGATCAAGAGCCAGCCAGGTGCCCCAACTTAAGATATTTTCTTTAAAATCTTAATCTGAAATAGATAATGCTACCTCTCATTCATAATTTGCATAACCATATTTTTATGTGCTGTTACACCTTTAAATATTTGATTTTTTAAAGACAGAGCATGGTTCTGAGGAGCATATTCATACACCACCTTGTCCATTCTTCGGTCAGAATTACTATAATATTCATCTATGTTATACTCATTCTGCTTTCAACTGAAAACACAATTTGATAGATACCGTCTAGGTTCCTAGAGTCTGCCAAAGGTGAGGTCCTTTTTACTGCAATTTATCAAGGGTAGAGGAGTAGTGGTGAACCACCTGGCCAGAGTCCCTGATGAGTCGGAAAGGTAGGGTGATGAGTGAAAGAACAGAATCAGGAGCCTTGCTTAATTGTTCCTAAAACTTGCTGAATAATTTCCCCAAATCACATCTCTTTGGGACAAGAGACAACTTAAAAAGAACATAACTCGCTTGTGTTACATATGTACTAGCAACTGGGAGGCTACAACTCAAGCAGTACCTTTTTTTTTTTTTTTTTAATTTTATTTTTAAGTAATCTCAACACCCACTGTGGGGCTTGAACTTAAAACCCTGAGTTCAAGAGTTGCATGTTCTACCAACCAAGCCAGCCAGGTGCCCCTCAAGCCAGATTTTTAATATTTTCATAATCTAATCAGTTTTCCTCCCAGATTGCTTTTTAAAGGATTAACTTTTCTCCCTTTATATTAATCAAAGGCATATATAACTGTGCTTCAGAACTTCTGAGCATGAAATAACCACTACCTTAATATAATTCTAGCTATAAGCAAATAAATTTTAGGTCTTAGTCCAAACACGTTATCAAATGTGGGCTTCTTAAAACACCAAAAGTAGCTTGAGAACCTCTGGTTAGAAATCAGCTCACTGATTCTTGAGGTCCCTTTCCACTTCTACTGTCTTAGGATTCTCAACAAAATACCCCTTTCAACACGTACATGTGCACACACCCTCACTTGCTTGCATACTCTCTCTCATGTCAAACCTGGGAGCTGCCCTTAATGCAAGAGGCATAGTGTGTATGATACCATTCCATTAGTCATTGCTACAAAGATGCTCCTGCCCCAAGACAGGCATCACAAATTTCCAACTGTCTAACACTTCATCCATTTATCAAGTAAGCCCACTCTGTAGGTTGCAATACATAGTACACAAGAAAACAGAAAAACGTATCCTAAAAATAAAATTAGGGGCGCCCGGGTGGCTCAGATGGTTAAGCATCTCCCTTCGGCTCGGGTCATGATCCAGGGTCCTGGGATCAAGCCCCGCATCGGGCTCCCTGCTCAGCGGGAGGCCTGCTTCTCCCTCTGCCTGCCGCTCTCCCTGCTTGTGCTCTCTCTCTCTGTCAAGAATAAAATCTTTAAAATAAAAAAAAAAACAAAACCCAAAATTACTTGTAAACTTACTTAAATATGCTCTTGGAGAAAAATACAAGGCAACCACAGTAGATGTCTGTTTGCAAACATGTCAACTCGATACATGATGAGGGTTCAGAGGTGTTTCATTTTTGAATTAAAAGGTCTTTACTCCTTTAAGCTTCTCACTGTAGCTAAATGCTTGCTACCTGAACCAAGTTATCCTTGTACAGAGATACAAAAAATTTCTCTTTCATACTAACTTTTCCTCCCACTGGTATATTATAGTGGTCAAATGACTGTCATTAATTATCGTTTGTTCTTATACAGCTGGGCCAGGTAACAGGAGCAGCAGAAATACCTAAATCCTAAATTTCAATTACAGGACCCCAGGATCACTGAGGAGGGGCTGTATTCTTCCCAAAGGCAAGATATAGGCTCTTTAAGAGGGCGGGGAGGGGGTGCCAAGGGGAAGGCTGATCCAGGGCAACAGCCCCATTCTAGTCTCTGCATGAGCAGATGAAGGGTCCATCTTCACTGAGCATGAACATATATATACTTCAAAGTACAGATGTGCTCTCAAAGTATACTCATTAGTTCATCTGCATCATATATAGTGCTGGTGAAGCCATGGTAATGGGCCAATTCTCTTGCCAAGGGGACCACCCTGGCTCTCTTCTCAGGCTGCAGCCTCTCTATTAAGGCCCACAGTAACTTGCTGTAATTCTGTGCGAGGGGTTCCTCACTCTAGCAAACCCACTTAGCCCTCCCAGGGTTGGGTGCTACTTTCAGAGCCTCAATGCCTGCATGAGTGATTTCTGCACAAGGCAACAAGGAAGTTTGTAGGCAAGCCCTGAGGGACAGAAAGAAACCAGGCCAGGCATGAGCTGTGACCTTTAAATGTGGCCAAATGGTGCACATCAGTATCACTAAAGTAATTTTGCTCATGGGGAGGGCAAATACAGGGGTGGTGGCAGGGTAAAAAGAACACTCAAAAAAGTACGAGAATGGGAAATAAGTGTTCTCCCCTACATATATCACATCAGGAAGGCCTTTAACTCTCAAACACAGCAAGCAGAGCACATTTGTTGAGTCAGATAAGCTGTACTTGAGTGCCCAGTCTTCCCTTGAAATGTTGTAGCATTGGGGTGCCTGGCTGGCTCAGTCGGAAGAGCATCCAACTCTTGATCTCGGGGTTGTGAGTTTGAGCACCATGGTGGGTGTGGAGGTTACTTAAACAAATAAAACTTAAAAGACAAGAAAAGCTGTAGCATTTCTGGCAAATCTCTGAATAAGGGTATTTGATGTGAATTTAAGGTACCTGCCAAATATGATTCTAGGTCGTAATTTCTTGAGTCACTTCACACTGTGTACTTAGTATGTGGATATTTTAAAGACAATATGGACTCCTTAAAAGTAAAGTTATAATGCTCTATATAAACTTCATGTATTTATTAGGACAACTTCACAGTTCAAAACTGTGTACCTATATTAATATAATACATACAAAGACAGACACCCAGGTACACAAACATACAATGTTTTCCTGACCAACTCTAAGAGGTTCTTGGATGACAAGCTAGGTAACAGCCACCTCTCCCAAGGCCAGCTTACCTTAAATAAATCAGCGACTATTCCATAATCTGCCACTTGAAAAATTGGAGCTTCTGGGTCTTTGTTAATAGCCACAATTGTCTGTGAAATAAAAACAAAGAGTTTGGCCTTTATCAAGAAAACATACCATAGATTGATGGTTCTAGTTTAACACTCCCAACAACAAATTTATATGGTTAGAAATGTCTACTAAATAAAATTGATTTGATTCATTTGTGCCAATATTGTAAATTTAGAAATTTCTGGGTTTGCACATAAAATTATCTCCCACAGCACCACTAGCCCATCACAGTATTTAAAACGGTTTTAAACCATTATTTTTCTAAGTTCTTTACTGACATATGAAAAACATTTTAGGAAGTAACAAATCAGAGGAGAGGATTCTGGGAAGATGGCAAAGTAGGAAGCATCAGGAGGAATCTGTCTTCCTACCTACACTGCTAACAACTGCCCTGGCAGAATCTGTCTAATGTAACCATTTTGGAAATCCAGAGTCTATTGAAGGTCTGCAACTTCCAGGGGAAGGCTTGCATGAACTGCAGCTCTTAGTGCAGTAACAGGTACTCATTCCCCACCCCCAATGGCAAGCAGCTGTGCACATGTTCCTGCAGCAGCCTGTACACAGCCTGCAGGAGACAGAGTGGACAAAAAGAACCCAGTCCTCCAACGACTGGGGACCTGTGCTTGGATTACTGACTGCTGCTACTGATCAAAGAGATGCATACAAAGAGGAGGAAGACCATTGCTGTTGCACCTCCCCCACTGTTACAAGCCCCTCGCCTCCTCTGGCTAAAGTTACCTCCAGGGGATTTAAAATGTCAAAGCACTTCTGCCTCCCTTCAATGTTCTTTTCTCCTTTTGGGAGCCTGACATTCAAGACTAGGACACTCAAAAGCAACTGCATATACAGGGAAAATTACAAACTAACCTCACATACAGGCTCAGAAAAGACACAAAAAGACCTTAAGTTTATACCTCAGGTTAATCTTTGGCACAGAGATAGCCTACAACAATAAAAAACCAAGAATTAATAAAAACAAGAACAACAAAACAGCAAACCCTGGGGAAGGAGGAGAATCTGATTTCCAGGAATACATCATTAGATTCAAATATCTAGTTTTCAACAACAACAAAAAAAATCACAAGGCATACTAAGAAACAGGAAAATATGGGACTATTCAAGGAAAAAAAATCAACAGAAACTGCTTCTGAGAAAGATCTGATGGCATCTCCATTAGAGAAAGACTGTAAAACAACCATTTTAAAGATGTTCAGGAATTATAAAGATGTGGAGAAGGTCAAGAAAACAAGGTATGAACAAAATGGAATTACCAAAAAAGAGACAGAAAACCTAAAGAGAAACCAAAAAGAAAATTCTGGAGATGTAAAGTATAATAACTGCAATGAAAAATTCACTGGAAAGACTCAAAGGCTGATTTCAGCAAACTTGAAAGTAGGACAATGAAAATTATCAAGTCCTTAGGATAGAAAGAAAAATATTAAAGGAAAGTAATCAGAACTTAAGGGTCCTGTGGGCCAACATCAAACAAACCAAAATATGTATTGTGGGAGTCCCAGAAGAAAGAAAAACGGGCAGAAAGAATAACTGAAGAAGCAGTGGCTGAAAACTTTCTAAATTTGATGAAAGACATGAAGATAAACATCCAAGATGCTCAACAAACTCCAAGAAAGATGAATTCAAAGAGACCCACACCAAGACACATTATAATCAAACTTTCAAAAGCCAAAGATAAAAAGAGAATCTTGAAAACAAGGACAGGTGACTCATTACATACAGGGGATCCTCAATAAGAATATCATCAGATTCCTCAGAAATTTTGGAGGCCAGAAGGCAGTTAGCTGATACATTCAAAATGCTAAAAGAAAAAAACTCTTGACCAAAAATCTTATATCCACTGAAACTGTCCTTCCAATGACATTTTTTGCAAAAATTAAAAAACCTATGCTAAAATTCATATGGGATCTCAAGGGACCCTGAATAGCTAAAACAATCTAGAAAAGGAGCAAAGCTGGAAGATCCACACTTCCTGACTTCAAAACTTACTACAAAGTTACAGTAATTAAAACAGTGTGGTACTGGCATAAAGAGAGATATACAGACCGAGGGGACAGAACAGAGAACTCAGAAATGAACCCTCACATATATGGTCAAATAATTTTTGACAAGTGTCAAGACCATTTAATGAGAAAAAGACACCCTTTTCAACAAATAAATTACTATGTCTCCTATTACTATGCAAGACCATTTAATGAGAAAAGGACACCCTTTTCAACAAGTAAATTACTATGTCTCCAAAAGATCCTCTTATCGCCTATAAAATTTTTTAATGTGAAGGGCTATAATGACAGATTTGTAACAAATTAAGAAGAAATAGTCCTAAAAAAGGTGCTACATTTACCAATTATTCTCTTATTAGTAACAGATTTATATATTACAAATAGTTTGGTATTCTCCATGATGCTTTAAAAAAAAAAAGATTTTATTTATTAATTTGAGAAAGAGAGCATGCACGCACATATGGGGGGAGGGGCAGCAGGAGAGGGAGAGAGTCTCAAGCAGACTCTGTGCTGAACACAGAGCCCGAGGTGGGGCTCAATCCCACAACCCTGAGATCACGACCTGAGCCGAAATCAACAGCTGGATGCTTAACTAACTGTGCCACCCAGGCATCCCCTCCACAGATGCTTCATTTAAAGTAAAATTAAAGTTTGACTCTAATATTTGACTCTAATGTGGTGTTATTTTAATAGATTATGGTGATATATATCTCCAGAAGTAAAATTAAGTTTCTACCTGCTTGTGACTCTATCACCTGAAAAGAGCTGGAACATATTTAAGAAAATTTTGATACAGTCTGACTTAACATATAGGCTACATGACATATGTGTAACTCCCCCAGGGTCTCTCAGAAAGATGAAAATATTCCAGAATATCTGAAATTGAAGCACAGTGTAGTCCAGGTAACTACTACTCCAGTCAAACATGCCATATATATTAAAAGATGGGTAGTCAGAGACAAGAAATGATGGTTTCAGTATGAGCCTCAAATCCAAAGTCACAAGTACAAACATTTGGAATCACAGGCATTTGATTTGCATCGAGGTGTTTCTCTTCTGGGAATATGTAAGCCTGCTTCACAGGAACTAGCAGAGATTTATTTAATTAATGATGGTTAATGATTTTCCTGGAGGCCACCTAGTCAAACATCTGACAGTTTAATCATCTGAAAGCTTTTTCATTCCCACTATATAAAAGTTATTTTTAAAGCAAGAGCACACAACTGTGGGCAAGGAACCACTAAAGTATTTAAGAAGAAAGATGTGGGATGGTTATAGTTTTTCAAATCACTAAAAGAATATTCCTGAATTGTCAACTGTAAATGAGTATCATAAAATCTTGCTTGCATCCTACAGCTCTCTTAATATGTCCTTATAAATTCATGCTCCTCTCCTTATACAGCTTTTAAAGCACAGATTGTATTCAATGATATTAATGTGTATATAGTTCAAAAAGTACTCTCATTACATTGATTTGTTTGATGTAACAACCAAATCCCATATTCTTTAAACTATATGACGATGTTAATTAAAACTGTAACTTGTATGCCGTGTGAGTATCAGATTTAAGCCAATTACTCTAATATCCCATTTTAGACCTTAACCAAAATCACAACCAGAGATTGCTGTGTCTCCCACACGAGGCAGTGACAACAAGAGCTATGTTTTTTTCATTTAAGCATCTAGTACAAAGTAAGTGCTTAATAAATATTTGTTGACTGCATAAACAGACAACATCTTGGCTCAAATTTATTCTTATAGACGGTTCCCAACACTGGTCTCCTTACTTCAATTGTTCCCTTTTTGCTTTAACATACACTAGCTAGTCCATCTCTCCCCCAATCCAGACCTGTTGCCACGGCATGACAATTTTTACCAGGATCATCTTGGCAGGCAGAATCTTTTATTTTAGAGAAGTAGAATTCTAGATATGTCTGAACACACCCAGCTAAAAATATTTTTTAAGGTTGCTGGTGTTGGAGTGTTTTTTTTTCCTTTAATGCAGCAGTAACATTTTCCCCACTGGCACTGCTTGTTTTCATAGCTCAGTAAAGAAACCTGCCATCCAACTGTGAAATCTGACTGGTTTTGGGCCAATTCATTTAGAGGTTACAAGGAGGTAGTGAATGCTTTTTTTCAAGTTAGAAGTTAAACCTGTTAAAAGTTTTATTACCTTTTATATCAAACTTCCATCTGAATGGATAAAATCTGGAGTGTCAGAAGCATCTCTGTCTTCATGAAAGACTAAGTTCATAATTCAAACTGTGCATTGGTATGCATGAATTCATGTGTCATATTCTGAAATATATGCTCAGAGAATCCTTACACAGGGCTTCCCGATATAATCCAAAGTAGCAAGTTAGCATCCAATGTTTCCTTTATACACTATATTGTTAACAATTACTGAGAACTGAGATATTAAGATGCTCCAACCCTAAATGTGTCTGTCCCACCTTAGTAACAAACCTGAGAAGAGGAGCTTTGCTGCCATATGAGGGTGGGACTTTTAGGGGACTAGGGTGAAGCAGACAAAGAATCAGGGATCAGAAACCTCATAAACTAGTTAGATGGTCAGAACCTCATCAAGCTCTCTTCAGGCTAAATTTTCTACCCATAGATGGTCAGAGCTGAAAGGGACCTTAGACATCATCAATGAACAGCTGTATTAGGCAAAGAACTGAGGTGCAGACAAGACACATCATGTGGTAAGCTAGGGGCAGAGATGGGACTCAGGGTCACACTTCTTTCCATGAAATAGCACTGCCTCTCTTACCAACGGTACAGCTTCAAGCAGTGAACAGCACCTTGTATTTCTTTCTATTCGTAGACAGAGCGTTAATCTGAATGGTTGAACGTACATGCACTGTAACTATATGGAAACAGAGTGAAACCAAAATTTTAAAATATGAAAATTTTTCTTTTAGGATTATTATTGTGTAGTTACCTTGCTGTCTTTCATCCCAGCTAAATGTTGGATGGCTCCAGATATTCCTACAGCAATATAAAGCTCCTGAAACAAAAGAGACCATATCATTAATATGTACTTATATATATTATATTGTATCTTCCACAGTATTGCTATTAGCAATTCAAGTCTTAGGCTAAAGATATTTTAAATAAAATAGATGCAATATGTTTTACTTAAATTATGTTTTCCTCCTTCCCTGATCTAACCCATAGTCTTCTTTTTCCTCTGAATTCCTACACTAGTGGTGATATAATAATAAATATGCGGATAATGAAAATCAATGAGCAGTAAGTATGTGCTAAGCATTTTACATCAACTGTTTACTTAAATCTCACAATTTCCTGTGAGGTAGCACTTTTTGTCTAGACTGCTCATTTAGATACCACATTTTAACACATCACTCTGTATATATCCATTCACTATACACACACACACACACACACACGTATATTTATCAATATCAATATATATCCATATATATCCATTCACAATATATACACAATGTACATAAAACACATACTCACACGTATTAAAATATATTTTGACTTGTTGCCTCCTCATAAAAGGATATTTGTTAAAATGATAATTAAGATATATTTATTAAACTTCATATTTAGAAAAAAACAAAAGTACAAATCAGCCTTAAGAGGTTCTAAACACAGACACACATACATGTGCACATGCACACACAATCTCCCTATTAGAAACTTCTTGAAGGACTAGGCTAAACCTCTGTATTTCAAGGTTTATAAAAGGACTCCCAGACTGTAGTTTCTAAGCAAACATTGATGATAGTATCTGCACCCCCCTCTGACCCTCTGCCCCCAGTAATAACAAAGAGCATGACCACTGACTGCTGCTCTCTGCTCCTTTATCTAAAAATTTAAAGTGTCCATGTTTGGAAAACTAGTAAGTGCTTAATTTAAAAGAGCTTAGCTGCTTCATTCTGTCTACTAGATATAATTAAAGCTTTAACTGAAAAGCTTTTCCCCACACATAAAATGAACAAGTCCTGCCTTGGGTAGGGGTTCATCTACCATGTAACCAAACTGATGCTACAGTTTTGTCACAACGGACAGCAGTCTCTCCTCAGTATGAATAACGAGGGAGGCACTGAAGGTGGCTTTGTCACACTCAGTTTTATTACAGGGCAGAGACTTTAAAATCAATGACAGCGTCAGGTGGTCCCACCTTGTTTTCTGCACTCGTTATGATTTAACAACTGCTCGCTCCAAAATGTGAGAGCATTTCAACCAAGATTTGAGGATAATGTCAGTAAATAATGCTATGATTTTTCATAACACCTCAGTGTGTGTGGCTGTATGCAAGTCAATTTCCCCCTCTCTCAGTTTCTCAACTGTAAACAGAGGGGGTATAGCCCCCAAATTGGAGCTTCTTAAAAAAGCTCCCCAGGATACTCTAATGTGCAGCCAGAGCTAAGAACCACTAGAACAGATGATCCCTTGGCTCATAAGAGCAGCTTAAAACCTATAATTCTTTCCAACAGGACCAGGCCAGGGGATGGTATATACCCAGGCTTTATCTTTAAAGGCATAAAGTGGGGGCACCCCTGGTGGTTCAGTCGGTTAAGCATCTGCCTTCGGCTCAGGTCATGATCCCAGGGTCCTGAGATTGAGCCCCACGTCAGGCTCCCCGCTCAGCAGGGAGCCTGCTTCTCCCTCTCTCTCTGCCTGCCGCTCCCCGTGCTTGTGCGCTCTCTGTCAAATAAATAAATAAAATCTTTTTAAAAAATAAAGGCATAGGGCGCCTGGGTGGCTCAGTTGGTTGGGCGACTGCCTTCGGCTCAGGTCATGATCCTGGAGTCCCGGGATCGAGTTCCGCATCGGGCTCCCTGCTCGGCAGGGAGTCTGCTTCTCCCTCTGACCCTCCCCCCTCTCATGTGCTCTCTCTCTCATTCTGTCTGTCTCAAATAAATAAATAAAATCTTTAAAAAAATAAAAAAATAAAGGCATAAAGTGTCCAACTATTTCTAAAGCAGCAAGATACCACTATATACCCTGGAAAAGGAGACAACCTAGTCCCCAAAGTGAGTTCAATCATCTAAAAATGAGGTGGGCTTGTTTTCCAATTCAACCTGCTCTATAGTTATCACGAAAAGCCTAAATGTAAGTAGGTGCAATTTGGTCTAAAAACATGGTCTTAGGCTGTAGGAAGTAAAATGTATGGGTGAGGATAAAAAAAAATCCCAAGCTCCATGATTCTATCTTAAATATATGCAATGTGTCTGTTATGACCATTTACATTTGGACAATGCAATAAGACCCTGTTATACTTCTCATCAGACATGGCCACTACTACCATGAGTGATAAACCAGCTTCTTTTTTATGAAAAAGCACCACTATTTTTTACTTAAGATTTACAGGTAACTTCAACTGATAATTTCAATATCATTTCCATTATTCTGACTAGCATTTCTTTCATAAAAGGACAATCATTAAATTGTTAATCAAAAAAATATACTTATTAAATATCACATTCAGGAAAACCAGGCCAACAAGATTTTCAAAGCAAGTTATTTAGAAAGACAAACATCCAGATAGACAACTGTCTCACTAACCACTCTTCCAAGTACATTCTCAAAGCAAGCATTGGAAAAGATCAATAGTTCTGTAAATGAGCCCTTCTAACATACATGTCTACATTAAAATTCAACAAGTCTTAAAAGCTCCATTTGCATCATAAAATACTAATAAAAATGATCATTCTGGCAGTAAACATCTACATAAATATAATATAAATGAAATGTATTTTAAAACCCCTGAGAAATGAATACCATTACTTTAACCATAAATGTCACTAAGGAAATTAAAGAAACTGGGCCAAAGCAAACCAAAGGGCCATTCCTGCCTTTCTGGCCAGAGTAAGCGATCCAGATGGGTTCACATGACCAACAGGACCTTATTTTACTGTCTTACAAACATGGTTCTCTGAATAAATATAAAAGCATTGAAACAATAACGAGAAAGAGTCCTGGGATTTGGGCTGCTGTTCTGAGATCTGTTCTGAGATCTAATAGCTCTCTAAGGCAGGAAGAGAGACTTTTTTCTTCTTTTTTAAAAAACATGTACAGGCAATTAGACTATTATCTTAGGATGCTTCTTTATGGCTCAGAAAGCATTTCTGTATTTCAATAATAATAATTAGTATGTATAAAACTCTCTACAGATGCTAATTTATGGAGCACTTTAGACACTGCTTCACAACATAACAAGGCAATCCCTGCCCTGAGGCACTTACCTTCTAAAATCAGAAAGTAAGATAATTTGGATAGAAAATGAGATGTGATTTTGGAGGGGGCAGCAATTAAAGGTTCAAAAAGAGGTAGGATTAAAGAAAGGAGCAGACACAGAAGTAAGGAGGGGTAGTCCTAGAGATAAAATCCTAGGAGCCTTAACAAAGGGAAGGAATCTAGAAGTGAGATTAGATCAACCTACATGAGTTGGCAGCAGTTTTGGCTGTCATTCTGCAAATGAAGAATGGGGACTGGTGGGAAGAAGTAAAGCCACCAGGGCAGTAAGAGGACCAGAGGTTATTCTGAAATATAAAGAAGGGACAGCACTTACTTCAACAGAAACAAGGACCAGCAGAAGAAAGCACAAATCCCTCTTCTTTTGTCAAAACCTAAAAAGACTGACAGCTGCAGACTCATCCGAAGAACTCAGGGGCAGGGCTCTAAAACACCTTACAGTGGGCTGAGATGAAAATAGGAACAGGGCTTGGAAACTGCTGCATCCAGTTTGCAAGAGGAATATATTACTGTGGTTAAGAACCTAGGCTCTAGAATCTCATTGCCTATGTTTAAATTCCAGCTCAGCCACCTGATAGACACGGGACCGTAGGCCAGCTATTTATCCTCTCTATGCCTCTGCCTGCTCATCTGAAAAACTGGGATTATAAGAATCCTTACTTCAAAGGGTACAATGAGGCTTCAGTCCTTAACATAGTATCCAGTTTCCCAAGACACTCATGTGCCTTGAGTTTTGCTCAAATATTGATTCTCTCAGCCCACTGGCTGGCCAACTAGGCTCCTGGGGTGGTCTCAAGGCTGCCACATACAGCTGAGCTACTAACTGAACAGCTCTGGAGGAAGGTGTCACTTACATCATAGTCATTACAGAACTCATTTTTATTACAATAATTTTCCAACAGATGGCAGTAAAGTAACTTGAGAAAGAGGTACTTTTCTCCTAAATCATACAAAAAAGTTGTATGTACAGGGCATCCAGAATCCTCTGTGGTACAAACACAGTAATTTTCTAAGTATGCCATAACAGGAAAAAGTTGAGAGACACTAGTTAACTATGATTTTACTGTTGTTGATACTGCTGTTATACCTTACAGGTACTATATAAAGACAACTGTGATTCTTTGTCCCATGTCCTCAAGAAGCTCACAGTCTAACAGCATAGGTTAAGGTAAAATAATAAAAGTCTATAATCCTGACTGTTGAATCACAGACCTGTACCTCTGAAACAAATAATACATTATATGTTAAAAAAAAAAAAAAAGAAGAAGATAGCA